CTCATTGCTGTTGAACCATGTGAGAGGGTGGTTTATTTCTTAAAAAAAAAAAAATGAAGGAATGAAAGGTTATCTCTTATCGAAGAACTAAATTAAGCTGGTGGAATTATATCAATGAGGACTATGTTAATATTTTTCGGGATGTTATATGGGCATTTTTCAGTATCCTTCATGAAATTGAGAAAATGAGGGTATACATTAACATAGAAAAGTCTTTAATGATTTCTCTTAATAATAAATGTGTGGAGCTGCTGCCAGCTTGGGAGGTAAATATGTGCATAGGAATCAATGTGGACAAATTACAAAAATACATGTCTCGGATAATCGAGCTTTCCTTCGGGCTGAAGGAGGTTGTGGCATATCATGATTTTAATTTATCGAACGATCTGGTTTCTCTTCTTCACTGTTTCTCAAATTATAACCTGTAAGTTGTATTCCCTTTCGCTATTTTTGTCACTGTTTTCTGTTTTTCATTTTTTAAATAATCATTATAATCGTAACATGTCCATCAGTTTGAGAAAGGCTGTATGGTATCCTCGTTTTAACAGTAACAGTTCCCTATTAGCCTGTTTTAAATAGTAAGCTTTGTAGACACCTAATCAATCTCTCCGGGTTTTAATTGATTTTATTTTTGTTAATAAAAAATTAAAAAATGAAAAAAAAATTGCCAGGTTGAATTTGTGTGAAATTATATGTGTGGACTAAAGAGTTTAAGTTGAACTTAAAATTTGAAGTTAAAACTAAAAGAGGATTAAAACCCTTTCTAGTTTAGGGTTCTTTGAATTTAAACCGTATAAATATAAACCTGCATCAAGCCTAAGAAAACACACATAGAGAGAGAAACAAAAAAAAAAACACAAAAAAAGTCAGAGAATACAAGATTTTTTGGAGATTTTTTGTTTGAGAAGAAAATTTTATAATTTTTTTTTTTAAATTTTCTAGAAAATTTTCAGATTTTGGTGCAATTTTTCAGTGACATTCATCTTTTCCGAAAAGATTCTTAGTTTCCAACGAGATTCTCAGTTTTCAATGTCAGTTTTTTAGAAACCGATGAATTTTTTTGTGAATTTCTAGTGATTCAACCTAGATTTCAGTGAGATTTTCAAAATCTGATGAATATTCAATCAAAGTTCATCTAAGTTCTAGAGAAAAAGGGAGAGAAAAGAGAAGATGAGAGAGAAAGAAAGAAAAATTTGAGGAAGAAAAGAATTTGATCTTTTATACTACTATTAAACGACATCATTTTTGGCATTTAAGAAATCCAAAATCTATGTGTTTTCTACGGGTGACCCGACCTATAGTGCTTAACCTATTTTCGACTTGCATTCCTGTCCTTGGCTTGAGTTGAGTTGTGTCATGAGCCATGTCATTTCAGTCGTTTTCCCTGCCTATAGTTGAGAGTTCTCTAGCCGAGCCAAGCCATTTTCTTACTTTGGTATTTATTATTTTATTTATTTTTAAGTTTTTTGCATGATTAAATTTTAAGAAAAGTAAAAAAATATAAAAAATAAAATATATATTTTTTAGAGTATATATTATATAAAATTTTTATAAAATTCTTAGATGAGAAATTTTTTTCTAAATTTATCCCAAAATGATAGAATAATTTAGAGAAAGTTACAATGATAATAATTAATATTTATTTTTAATTTAAAAAACATAAAAAATAAAAAAAATAAATTTTGAGAATAAATAATAATTACCCAATGATAAGAAATTTTTTTGAATTTCTCCCAAATGGTGGAATAATTTAAATGAAATTTTAATAAAAGTAATTGTATTCCTTTTTAAATAAAAAAATTTTAGTTGAAAATATTGACAATTATCCAATGATGAGAATTTTAAAAATTTCAAATGGTAAATTTCTTAAGAAATCTCTAGGTGAGAAATTTCTTTAAATTTATCCTAAATGGTAGAAGAAATTAAATAAAACTTCAAAAAATAAATAATTGTCATATTATTTTCTTTCCAAAGATTAAGAAACTAACAAAAGTTTTTTTTTTTCTAAATAGACCTAAAAGATGAAAAATTTAGAAATAAAACTTATAAAAAAAATTTCTAAATAAACTCAAATGTGAAAATTTAGAAATCAAAAACAAAAATATTTAAATTAGCCCAATGGTGAAAAAAATTTTTTTTAAAAAAAATATTTCGATGGTGAAATTCTTATTAATCGCAAATGATTGACTATTTAAAAAATTTTTAGGTGAGAAGATATTTTCAATTTTGGTCCAAATTATGGATAAATTAGATATATTTTCAATAAAAAACTAAAAATAAAAAATGATTAAACCTTTTTTCAATGATGTAGCTCTTTAAGAAAACAAATAAAATTCTTGAATGTACTTGAAGTGAGAAAATATTTTTAAGAATTTTACTAGATTAATGGAGAAATTTTAAAAATTATTTTTAATATTCAACATTAAAATTTAAGACCATTAGAATCAAGACCTTAAGATAATTTAAAATAAAACGGTACCATCCTTTGGATAGGCTTGTAAAGGTGCTAAAACATTTTCATATGTAATTGAACTCTTGAACCCTGTTTTGATTAGTAACCCAAAACTTATTCTTTTATGGACCTTTAGTAAAGCTTATGATCTCCTTAAAAGGATAAATTCATTAGGTGACCAATTACACCTAGTTAAAAAAGATTGATGGCAAGTCTTGAGGTTAAGTCTAGCTATAGATTTATAAAACTATATGTTATGACAGTTTGACGACTCCACTGGAGATTGCTATAGATAGTCAGATCGTAAATTTTAAATTTATTCTATCTTTTGATATAATGGTTTTAAAATTGCAATGATTGTGTTATCTGTTTACTAATGTTTTTATCTTTTCTATCTTTTATTTTTGAGGTTTGAAACTTATATGTTCCTTCACATACACTATCATATGTATTTTCATTATATGAACTTTGTACCCAAGCTTTATCTCGCTTAGGAGGGAGTAAAGTATCTATGCTCTCGTAAGATAATAATATCTATAATGGCTAGTGAAAGACTCTCACTCAAATTGAATCTTTTTTGTTAATAGCCTATGTTTGTGAAGATTGGAATACCATACTAGTATGTGAGGAACCATAATGTAAGGAACAATTTGGAAACCTATGATAGTCAAAATCACTTAGCCTACTATATACTCTACACTTAAGAGGCTAGCCTTAAGATAAAGTCGTTCCTACCCGTTCTTACCTATTGATAGACTTAACCCAAAATTAGGACATAAGAATGAACAATTTGTTTGATATATTGATTATCTAATCATTTTATTTGTTTGACTTTGTGCATTTGCATCATTCTGTGAAGAACTTTTGTTGTCAGATTAACTTAAAATTTTATGAAAAAGTTTATTTTATTTTTATTTTTGATTTTACCAACCTTTTATTTTTTTACTAAATATTTTATGAAAAGTAAATAAATATTTTTTTATTGGAATACTTCAAGAATCTTTTCCAATACTTTTTGTAAGATTTTAAACAAATTCCTCACATAGGAATTTCTAGAATAACTTGCAATTATCATTTAATTTATCATTGGAAGAATATTAATTTATTTCCAAAATTTTTTAAAATTTATATGGTACAAATAAATAAATTTTAAAAAAATTCATAAATTTATTTGTCTAGCATATATTTTAAGCTTTTTTTTTTTAATATTTGTCAAACAATCAAAACATGTTCCTAATCTAAGAATTTAAATAGTTATGTAAATAAAAATAAAAAAAATTAATAAGCAAATTAATAAATAAAAATAAAACTAAAAAGAAAAATAAAATAAAATAAAAATACCAAAAAAAAAAAAACAAAGAAAAAAATTGATTGCCATATGTCCAAAACAAAGAAAAAAAATACCAAAAGCTTTTTCTCCAAATCACCTAACCAGTTTATTTCATGCCTTAATTAATTTTCTAATAATTTTTTATATTTCATATTAGGTGTTATTGAAATTGAAAAATGGGGGTAACTTTAAAAGGTATTTGGTTTACTGAATTTAACTTTTCTTTTGAGAATTTAATTTTTTTCATTATTTAATTCTTTAGTTTGGTTTAGAAACTTCCCCATGTTAGTCTAACAATCCCAGTGTCAAAAAAGGAAAAAAATAAAGGAAATCTAAAACTCTAATTTTTCTGAGATTTTTTAGATTTTTGAAGGAAAGTGAAAATTTTGCATAATTTACCTTTATTTATTTATATTTTCAGATTATATAAATAACGTGATTTACTTTAGAAACAAAGTAATTTTATATGTTACTTTTTATTTAATTTTTAGAATTTAATAAAAATAATATTTTTAAAATAAAAATACAATCTTTGTTTAAAGTATAAAAAAATATTTTTTAAAATTAAATAAAGATGATATTTTTATGATAAAAATATAACTTTTATAAAAAATATGAAAAAATTATTTTTCAAAAATTTTAAATTTCAACAAAAAGGATGTTTTGTAAGATTGAAAACATGATTTTTATTAAAAATATGAAAAAAAATATCATGATAAAAATTTTATTATTACATACAAAATTTATTATTATATATATTTTATGTGTAATAAAATCTAAAATACTTTTATTTAAATAATTTAACAAAATATTAAATAAATAATTTATATGTTGAATAAATAAAAATTTAAATAAATCTTATTTATTCACTGTTTTTCAAGAGTCACATGTTATGAATATCACATATTATAATATAATAAAAATTTTATTAAATAATTTTATATTCTTTTAATTAAATATAAATATTTTATATTTTATATTTTTTAAGATCAATAAAATTAAAAAATCAAACATTCCCTTTCAATAGATAAAAAAACTAAATACGAAGCAAAGTGCTATTTGCTTTACGGATGCTTTTGTTATTTATATTTTAATAAAAAGTAAAGTAAAAATAAAAATAAATTGAAATTAAGCAACAAATAATAAAAAATAAAAAGTAAAAGCACAAACTGAGGTAAGGGAAAAGTAAAACCAAAACCAGATGCAATAAATTCCGGCAGTTTCGAAGCCCACGGAAAAAAAAAAACCCCAACTGGAAGCCCAACGAATAATCTTTTCCGAATCTTCCTCTCACCGTGAACTGTTTCGCTTCTATTAAAAACCTTCACGAGCTTTCCTTTTTCTTTACTGTCTTGATCTCTCCGCCTGTTTCTCTCATCTTCGTAAGCTCTCTCTCTCTCTCCCTCTCTCCCTCTCTCCCTCCCCCTTCGAATAGTTCCATTTCATCATCAATTTTTACGATTGTGTTTTGATCATGTCTTCATTTCTTTGTAGGTTTGTTTTCTCGTTTGGTTGTTGTTGAACAAGTGGTAATACTATGGCTACAAAGAAGAGCGTTGGGGATTTGAAGGAAGCTGATTTGAAGGGAAAAAGAGTTTTTGTAAGAGTTGATCTGAACGTTCCATTGGATGATAACTTAAACATAACTGATGACACCAGAGTCCGTGCGGCTGTTCCCACTATCAAGTACTTGATGGGTCATGGCTCTAAAGTCATCCTTTCCAGTCACTTGGTACTTTTTTTTCCCATTTTATTCAGATTTAGTTTATTTTAAAATTTTTATAATAATTTGCTTCTGGGTTACTTGATGTACTTGTTTTACCTTACTGAGTTTTTTGGGTTTTTGTTTGTTTTTCGATTTATTTGCGTGTTCGAATCTGCTGTTTATTGAGCTCTGGTTTACTAGTTTTGATGGAGATATGCATTTTTTAAATCTGTTTTATTGGACTAAGCTAGATCTGTCTGATTCTGATCTATGCAGTTTCAATTCGATTTTTGTTTATGTTTTCTTTCGTTTCAGTCTGATTTTCTTCTCAACTTGTATATTTTTTTTTTGAAAACGCTGTACTTATCGTGTATTTTTGAGTCTTGATAGATCTAAGAAGAATATCCCCTTGGCTAATGTTTTCATTGTTGCTATTAATTCTTTGATAAGTTTTCTACTATTTGTTTTTGACACCCAAACATTTTATGATCTAAGAAACATTTGGTTTATAATTTTCATCGTTTGACAGCAATAGTGCATCTATAACTGTAAGATTGTTTTAGCAAATGTTAAGGTAGAATGGCTATTTTGAATGCTAGTCAATTTAGTCTACCTTGTCCTTAAAACGGGTTTCCCGTGCAAATCCCTTGCCGTCATGTGTAGGAGTGTGCCATTCAATATCAAAAACGAATGGTAAATTTGAATCTTTTTAGTTTTAATATCTTATGGAATGATTTTAAGTTGTAATATCATGCCAATTTGCAATTGAAAACAATGTCTTTAGTATAATTGTTATCTTTAGTAAAGCAAACAAGCCAGCTGAGTGCTAAAAAAATGAAAGCCTTTTTAAAACAATAAAGCGATGAAAATGATTTAATCGCTAATTGTGATTGGGTTACCATGCACTTTTCTTGAATTGCACATTGCGTTTTAACACTCCTACTATTGCTATTTTGTTGATTTTTGAATCTTACTGCCCTCCTTTGCATTATTTTGATTTGTTCTTTCTTTTATAGATGATGGCCTTGATGTCGTTTTTCTGCATATAAAAAAAGAAGCTTAAAGGATGTAAAAAATAAGATGACTTTATAATTCTTTTTCGGGATGAAGTTTGTAAAATTTTGATCTATGTTTAACCTTTTAAATTGTTCACATTTTTCTGCATACAAGGCTTAAGTGATGTAAAAAATAAGACCAACTTTGTAATTGTTTTTGTACTTAACAAAAATATAGTGAAATTGTTTTTTCAGCAAGAACTTGGTGATTACCTTAAGAATTTTTGAACTATTTTATAATTTACTCTTGAAGGTAATCCAGCATATATATTAGTGTATAACCCAGCATATATATTAGTGTAGATTCTTATTCTTTAGTTGGTTCTTTAGTGATCTCTATTTTCTGCCTTATTTTCTGTATCGTAGTGGATGGATTGGTAACATAAACTGCCTTCTTATGTTCATATGTCCCTGAGCTTTTCTTGGAAGCTAGGATGGCCTTATTATCAGTTCAGTTTCCTTGTTTTTAAGTGAGTGATTTCATTTTGTTAAGGTCTGTTTGGTTATGAGGCATCTTTCTGTCTTTTTGTTCACCAATTTATCTATTTGTCTGTTGTAGGTTTATGAATGTCTTTACTGCTTACAATATATTACCTTTTAATCTAGATTTTTGAAATAGATTTGTATCCTTAGTTTTTATTAACATTTTAGTTTTTACATTTTGTTTTATTCCATGTACTTCTTAGATTGCAAATGACTTTATAAAATGTTTGGCAAAAGATCTGAAATCTTCTATCATTCACTAATCCTTGTCTAAACCTTTTTTTGTCGTAATATAGAATGATATTTTTACGGTTTCGTTTTCCCTGAACCTTATCTTCATCTTTTGTTAGTGTCCTTGTAGTTGGCTTAAGACACATTAATAAAAGTCCTCTTCAGGGCTAGTAATTTATTAGGGGTCGTTATCCAGCTTACAACATGAAATTGAGATATAAAAATTAAACCAATTATCCAAATTTGACGGAAAGAATGGAGGTTACCACTTGATGTAACCAAAATTTAGATTTTATTTTAATTTTTTTTATTTAGTTTGTAAATGCAAGCAGTTCTGCTTCCTTTGATTTCAAGGATGATTTGTAGGGATGAGTGGCTGAGGATGTAGAGTGTTTGAAGTGCTGATAACATAGGGAGTACTCTTTTTTAACTTTATTCTTTCTAGAAGTGTATGACTTGCATAACATCATTTGCATATAAGGTTTATACAATATTATATGGGCCATTGTTGAGGTTTTCTTGATTTTTCATTTTGCATGTGTTTTTTTTTTTCTCCCCATCTTTTTTTTTCTCAAGTTTAAACTCTCATAATATGTTTCTGGTTGCTTTTTCAGGGCCGTCCAAAGGGTGTCACTCCTAAGTACAGCTTGAAACCTCTTGTGCCAAGACTATCTGAACTCCTTGGAGTTGAGGTTTGTCCTTAAAAATAACACTTTAGATGCCTCAGTGTTCAATTTGCTTATTTTTTATTAAAAATTTGTATGTCTTGTGACAGGTTAAAATGGCAAATGACTGTATTGGTGCAGAAGTTGAGAAATTGGTGGCAGAACTTCCAAATGGAGGTGTATTGCTGCTTGAGAATGTGAGGTTCTACAAGGGGGAAGAGAAGAATGATCCTGAATTCGCAAAGAAGCTAGCATCTCTTGCAGATGTCTATGTTAATGATGCATTTGGCACTGCTCACAGAGCCCATGCTTCCACAGAGGGGGTGGCTAAGTTCTTAAAGCCTTCTGTTGCTGGTTTTCTTATGCAGAAGGTATTGTGAATCATAAGTTTGAAAATAAGGTGTCATTCTTGTATGATCTAGTAGGTTGGTTTACCATCAATTTGTTGTTATTAACTTAGATTGATTATTTGAAAATGGTGTCATGTAAATTTTATCTGACAGCATGTGATTTTTGGGATCTGATAGATGCAAATTATCTGGTATGCTGGCCTGTGCCAGTTGAAGCATATCCTCCAAAAAATCTCATCTGACACGGTTTTTCTTCAAGCATTTTGACAAGAACACTTAAAGAGTTATGTGGAGTTTTTTGTTGGGTATCTATTGACATGTGAAGTTCTTTTCTCTTTTTAGGAACTTGATTATCTTGTTGGAGCTGTGGCAAATCCCAAGAAGCCATTTGCTGCAATTGTTGGTGGGTCTAAGGTATCAACAAAGATTGGAGTGATTGAATCCCTCTTGGCCAAGGTTGATGTTCTCTTATTGGGTGGAGGAATGATCTTTACATTCTACAAGGCCCAAGGATATTCAGTTGGATTATCACTTGTGGAGGAAGACAAACTTGATCTAGCGACCTCACTCCTTGAGAAGGCCAAGGCAAAAGGGGTGTCTCTCTTGCTTCCCACTGATGTCGTTATTGCTGACAAGTTTGCAGCTGATGCTAACAGCAAGGTTTGTGCTGCTGCTGATCTCTATTATTTTTGGCCAGTGAAATTCCTTGGGTGGTCTATATTGTAGTAACACCTAATTTTAGAGCTCTAAACCACTCCAACAGATAATACTGTTCTCTCTTTCTTCTCTGTGCCCTTCCCCAATCGCCATCTCTTAATCTGAGTGTACATAGGTTTCATATCTAGTATATGGTAGTCGGATATGGAGAATTGCTGTATCAGCAGTTTTTTCTGTTGATGCTGTGTAAGAAATTTGTCTCAGCTTTTGAATTTTTTCAAATATATTTTCAGGTGGTGCCAGCATCTGAGATCCCAGATGGTTGGATGGGCTTGGATATAGGACCCGACTCCCTGAAAACCTTCAATGAGGCTTTGGACACTACCAATACAATTATTTGGAACGGACCCATGGGCGTGTTTGAGTTTGAGAAGTTTGCTGCAGGCACTGAGGTAAATTGTGGTTTACTTTGGGAAATTAGGTGTGAAATTTGGTCTTAATCTGGTTCTATTCCCAATATTTTATTGGCATTATGTAGATTGACCAATGGTTTGGAGTAGAGGATTTGCATGTTAAACTTGAAACTAAAATTTCATTTTTGGGGTTCATCTAGTTGAAATTCTAATTGTGAAAGAATAGCTTTTTTAAATACTATTTTCTATGCAGGCGATTGCCAAGAAACTTGCTGAGCTCAGTGGCAATGGAGTGACAACCATCATTGGAGGAGGTGACTCTGTTGCAGCTGTGGAGAAGGCTGGGCTTGCTGATAAGATGAGCCACATCTCCACTGGTGGTGGTGCTAGCTTAGAGCTTCTTGAGGGAAAACAACTCCCTGGAGTCCTTGCTCTTGATGATGCTTAAGCTTAATTTTGCACCTTTATGCTTTTTGTGCATTTTTTACTGCTGTAATGTTGCTGGTTTTGCAGCCAAGAGTGAATTAGTAGTAATAGCAGAGCTGATCGTGTAGAGTCTTATATGGTGACTTAAAAAATAAAATGGTTTCTCGTATGCAACCATCATAGATGCATTCGGATTGGATGTTATTTGGGACCATTGTTGATCCAATTGCATTAGTGCTTGTTTTGTTTATATCCTCTTGATAGCTTATCGAGTATTTGAGGCTGGAGTTGCATTTTTTGTATGTTGCTTAAACGACTACTTTTGGTCAGAGTTGCTGTTGCATTTTGGAAAATGAAAAAAATTTTTATGGGAAAAAATGCATTTAAAAATTATGGTTAGTCTTTCATTGCTATTGCTATTGAAAAAGTGTGTTTATGTAACTAAAATTGTAAAAAATATGTATAAAAATTTAAAATATTAAAAATATAGAAATATTAAAGTGATTTTCCATCTTAAACACTATATATATATATATATATATATATTTTACTTAACAACACTTATTAAGGAGTTAATTTTGTTGAGTTTGAAAATCAAACTTTTAATAGAAAGGTTATATATTTTGTTTAATTATGAAGATAAGTCAAAAATAGTATTTGCAGGCAAATATTATTTTAAAACTTTTGAACACATTATTTTGAGCAGTGATGCAAAATTAGGCTTAAGAAATGATGCAAAATTAGGCCTAAGTAATGATGGTAATTAATTAGTCTTGAAGATAGGATCTTTTCTTACCAATCAACTGCAGCTTTGTTTTCTTTTTAAAACCCATTGAATTTATCTAAATCTTGCCTTCCAACAACCTAAGACCATATTATAGATGACGAATGGGCAAGTCAGATCGGATTGAGATTGAATTATTTTGAGTTAAAAAAAAATTAGATTATTTATTTTCAATATTTCATGTATTAACTATTAATTTATTATTGGTAATTCAATATTGTTAAAATTAACGAATTAAAAATGAACAAATAATTAGATAATTTTAAAAAGTTCACCATTAAAGCTATAATTAAATAGTACATTAATATAAAAAAGAATATTATTGGTATTGATTACTTAATTGACATAATGATCTAATTTTAAAACTTTAAAAGTTTTTCTAAAATATCAAAATTACTTATACATAATAATAATCTAATTTAAATAATTGACCCTTTCGATAGAAAATAGTGCAAATGTACAATGAAAAACAAAGATAACATAACCCTTAGTTGAGACTAAAATATCAAATGAAATTATTATAAAAATTTAAAATTAAGGATGCATGTGTGTATTCACTTAAAAAAAATTAACCAACTTTTTACATGTTATTCTTTTTCAAAACACAAATATTTTTAATATTATTTTTTTTCACCCATATAATGGATGTGTCAAATTCTAATTTTATTAATTTTAATATTTGTATAGAAATGGAAAATTAAAAAAAATTTATAAAAGGCTTAAACATTCTTCGTTTGTGTAAGACCAAAGAGTTAGATGGGAAAAGCTCTCAATTCCTAGTTCTCATGTAGCTTGAACCTCTGGAATTATGAAAATCTTTAGATAGAATGAGATTTCAATTCCTCACCTTCTGAAAATTTGAGCGTAGCTGTTCCAAAGCATAAAACAATAAAAATTGTAAGCTATGTATAGAGGAGGGGGAGTTATTGTCTATTATTGGCCTCTACAATAGAATCAGTCAAGGACCTAAGAGATTGTGCTTTACCTTATGATAGATATCAGCGTTTCAAGTCCACTGATTTCACACTCGTGAACTTAGCCGAACAAAGCTATATGATAGCATCCAACTTTTTTCATTTGTAAGTTCAATATATGATTTATTATTCATGGACATTGATAAATTCCCTTCATTTCATTTAGCAGAACCTTAAGATGGCATAGCCTTAAAGTTAAGTGTGAGGTCAAAGAGGAATTCCTTTGTATTTAAGGATTGTTTGATTCGTGGATTCTTAGATTTTGAGAAAAAAAAAGTGATTTTGGGATAAAGTGATAGTGAAGGGGAATGTGTGATTATTGGTTTCACTAATTTAACGAGTGTAAGAATTTTGTATTTAATTTAGAGGAATATAATATTATCTAATAAAATCTTTTATTATATTATTCTTGATGATAAGTAAATAATACATTATATTTATAAGATTGATATGTGAACAACACATGACACGTGAATAATACATTATTTTTGTTGAAACTAAAAAGTTTTGAAAAATACTATATATATATTTTCATATTTTTAATACAGATAATTTTACAATCTTAATTACTATCCTAACGTTAATTGTTCCTATGTAGAAAAAATATGCAGACTACGTTTATTATAATATGTAATAATATTAAGTAAATGTATTTTAGATTTTATATGTAATAATATTAAGTAAAAATATTTTGTGTTATTTTAATTTTGTTACGAGTCGTAACAAAGATTATGTTTTTTATTTAAAAATACGGTCTTTCTTAAAATTTCAAATTTTTGAAAATAAAATTCAACATCTACTATATTTTTATCTTAAAAATACAGTTTTTGTCAAAATTCAATAATTTTGAAAAAAAAATTTTCAACATCCAATATAATTTTTATCTTAAAAATGCAATCCTTGTTAAAATTCCAGAATTTTGAAAATATAGTTTTAACATCCACTATGTTGTTATCTTAAAAATGCAGTACTTATTGAAACTATAAATAACAAAAATCTTATTTACTTTGTAATTTTAGGAGATTAGAAATAATAATATAGTGTGACAATATGATTAAGTAAGGGCAAATGGGGAAAATTTTTCTCTTTCTTCTTCACAATCTTAAAAAAACCTCAGAAAGAGAAAAGTTTTTTATTTTCCATACTTTTTCCCTTTTTGAAACTATTGGAAATCTCAGAAAAAATTAGAAATTACATTTCGTGAACCAAATTAAAAAAAAATCAAATATCAAAAGTAGGATTCCGACCAAGATTCTTATTTTCCCAGAATCAAATGCTTCTTAATGATATAAAATAACAGTACAAGAAAAATGAGTAAATTTCACCAATAGTCACTGAACTTGAATTTTATTTGGGTCTTTGAAGTCTAATTTATCCCAATCAAGTCATTGAAGCTTGTTAAGTATACCAAAACACTCTAATAGATTCCATCCAAATTTTGATAGAAAAATAACATGACAACCACGTCATTAGCCACATCATTTGTCATATCAACTAACTAAATCCATATAATTTTATGAAAGGTTATTAAACTTTCACTCAATTTCCAAATAGGTCACTAAACTGTAATTTGTCACTATAAGTTCACTAAAATTTGTTAAGTGTACCAAATTTTGTTACTTTAATAAATTTCATCTAAAATAAAAAATTAGATAAAATTTAATTATTGAACTCAATCAAACAACATTTATATTTTTTATATAACCTAAAATCCTCTCATATCCCATAGAAAATAAAAAAAAAATTAAACAAACCCAAAGTAGACACACTTTTAATGAATATTTAATTTTTTTGAAATATTATTACTTTTATTTAAATTAAAGAGCATAAATATTAAAATAAAAGTTAAAATCCTTACAATTTAATTAAAGCATTATTTATTAAATATTTACACTCTTTATTGTTGTTTTGAATTTGAATTCAAACAACCATGCAAATGTCGATCCCCTTTCTATAAAAATGGCATTCGACCATATTGAATAATGATGTGAAAAATTGTCGGAAATAAAATAAAACAAAAATAGGAGAGTTTGGTAGTGAGGAAGAAAGACATTTCAAGAATTTCTTGTATTCAATGTTTAAGAATTTACATTGTGAATAATAAATAATTTTTGTTTTGTGATTTTATTCTCTATCAGTGAATTAAGTTGACAAACTCCTACATTCGTATAAGTTTTAATTTGACATTTGATAATTCGATTATCTCAATGATTCCAACAAGTATGATATTGTGAATCCAAGACATACAATGGCTCTTTGCTAGTTGAACTAAGAACATATTGTAGCGATGTTACTAGAACAAGTAATTACATACCTATATTAGAAAATAAGAGAAATGCATTTTGATTTTGATGTTAGATGATGCAATTTTATTTTATTTGAGTTTATGATAACTTCACTAAGCTTATCGTCTCATATTTCTTATCCATGCTCTATTATAGGTTTTGTCTTTGGTTGTAGTTTGGTTATCCCTTTCACGAACATTTTGCTTTTGGAAGCAAAAGTTAAAAATTTTTAAGTTTTATCTTTGTATTTGGAGCTAGCATTTGAAAAACCAACACTAACTCTTAATGGATGGCCTCTAAAAGTCAAATTTTGTATAATATCATGAAGTAGTTTCATGCTACAAGAAAGAGCAAAGCAATAAAAACCAAAGAAAAGGAGCTTGATGTCGAAGAGAGGTTGAACAATGTCCGAAAGTATGTTAAAGGCAGTTGGGTTCCTTGCACATTACATTTATTGCCCTCTCTTAAGTGTCCTTTTATTAACGTAGCTTTAAATTCCTTTTTTGTCTTTCACAATACAAAATATGCTAGCTTTATTCTTCTTGTAAGTTTCACTTTATTTTATCACATATATCTTCACATTCAATCTATATACCTTTAAAAAGTGAAAGGCTTGCCATTTTACTTAAACTGCCCTGTCAAGTTTTCAATTTAAGTATTTTTTTTCTCTATTTTTTTTGCTTTTTTGCACTTTTTTTTCTTTTTCTTCTCATTTGCTTTCCCCTTGATCAATCAATAACATTTAGATCAAAATCCTAAACAATCTCAAGTTTACCTTAGTTTAATTCATGATTCTTTACTTCAAGTATTCTCATTTGATTAAAATAGACTTTTAAGAAATGTAAAGTAAGATAAGGTGAGGGGTTATGAAAAAAATTTATAAGATATGCCTAAAATGTATTTGAAGGGTTATAAACCAAAGAATCATTTCTCATCGTGTGAAACACCTTAGCTTTTCATCAATTCTCTCATTCTCTTTTCCTTTTCTTCATTTTTTTTCATTTTTGATATTGTATTTTTTATTATTTTTGAAGAAAGATCTAAACACCAAAGAGTTTTATCCTTGAAGTCATAAAAGACTTTCACTTTTCTTTTTTTCTTTTTTATTTTTCTTGTGAACAAGCTTTTTTCAAACTTTTACCCCCCGATATGGAGAGTGATTCATAATGGGTTTCTTTCAAATAAATTTTCAATAGGCTCAAAAGCAATAGCAAATGGATAATTTTACTCATTGTGTGAAAGGTAAAAGAAA